GAGTAGACGCCTGAGCAATTCTATAGTAAAAGATTCAATATGTGTCTTGTTTCTGGATATGATATTTTCCTGGCCAAAAATAATATGAGCTTCGGCAAGAAAGAAAATTGTTCAGGTATGAATAATTAAATAATTATATTCTTATGTATCTTATGAACGGAAAAAATTTGTACACAACGGAAACATTTGAACAGTTTCGATTGAACAAGTCCATAGTACAAAGTAAAGTTTATTGAACTCGATCAATACGTGACTGAATGTTAAATAAATTCGGATGCGACTTTGACGTGGTTTGTTCCCATTTTTGTCACTCCGCTCCCCAGGTGGCAGAAAAAAATGTTCCTCGTCTGATGTTGGCCCAAGAAGAACGAAAGTTCTTCAAGCATCTTTTGAATTTTGAAAATGCTCTTGGTGGCCGCTTGTGTTTTTTCTGTATCTGTCACGGCTACAGTAAGTACGTACAGTACTGTTACGTAGTACTTCGAAGTAGTAATTACTGTACGGTACGGTATATCTTCTGACCAGAACGTACTTTGGTCCTTGAAATACGATACGACTTACGGGACCTCGTAGCACATACAWGTGATTCTGTGTTGAAACTGAGAATTGGCGCGTTGCTCACTGCCGCACTTTTTTTTCCAAAAGCGTTCGGACCACAATTTTTGGTTTTTTCTCTCCGAACACTTCGTAAAATAGGATAAATTTAAACATGAAGGTCTCCCAAGCTATTCTCTCTGTTGTTCTCGGCTTTGCCGTAGCTGCTCATGCTCAAGATGTTGGCGTGAGTACACCAATGTTGTGGAATGTTCTTTTCTGTCTTCTAASGTTCAGACCATGCGCTTTCCCCTGTGGGCCTCCCTTTGTGATATCGGCGGTCGAGCTCCACAAACGTCTCACCACTGCAATCCACCACTCTTTGTTTCTATTTCGTTTTTCCCAGACCAACACYGTTCGTATTCTCAAGAAGAGCAAGGGAACCAAGAAAACCAAGGCTCCCACAATGGCGCCTACCAAGGSCACCAAGAAGAAGATGCCGCCAACCGCAGCACCAACCGCCGCCCCCACCGCCGCCCCCACTGCTGCCCCAACCGCCCCCCCCACGACGACTACCGCTCCACCGACCGTCAGTAGCACATCAACGTCTACCTCCTCCACTACTGGAGAACCCTTCCCCAGTTCTACTCCGAGCGAATTTCCAAGTGCTTCTCCGAGCGACGTTCCCAGTGCCTCCCCGAGTGAATCCCCTTCGGCCTCTCCCAGTGCCTCTCCTTCGGATTCCCCCAGTGCCGCTCCTTCCGCCTCNTAACCCACCAACGCAGTCTATACTTAGTAACACTAGAGTTCCTGGGAAACCACGCGATGGGCTCGTTACAGAGGCTGTTTCGTGTAAGGAAACAGCTTAATGACCATCGAAGTTGGTTTTTTAAGATTAACACTACTGTAATTGCATATTTTCTATTTTCAATAAATTCYAAAAATTGAGCTGAACTCATGAACAAGTGGCTGCGAATAAATTGGTTTCCGCAATTTTCTTCTAATGTACSGAGTAGACGCCTGAGCAATTCTATAGTAAAAGATTCAATATGTGTCTTGTTTCTGGATATGATATTTTCCTGGCCAAAAATAATATGAGCTTCGGCAAGAAAGAAAATTGTTCAGGTATGAATAATTAAATAATTATATTCTTATGTATCTTATGAACGGAAAAAATTTGTACACAACGGAAACATTTGAACAGTTTCGATTGAACAAGTCCATAGTACAAAGTAAAGTTTATTGAACTCGATCAATACGTGACTGAATGTTAAATAAATTCGGATGCGACTTTGACGTGGTTTGTTCCCATTTTTGTCACTCCGCTCCCCAGGTGGCAGAAAAAAATGTTCCTCGTCTGATGTTGGCCCAAGAAGAACGAAAGTTCTTCAAGCATCTTTTGAATTTTGAAAATGCTCTTGGTGGCCGCTTGTGTTTTTTCTGTATCTGTCACGGCTACAGTAAGTACGTACAGTACTGTTACGTAGTACTTCGAAGTAGTAATTACTGTACGGTACGGTATCTTCTGACCAGAACGTACTTTGGTCCTTGAAATACGATACGACTTACGGGACCTCGTAGCACATACAAGTGATTCTGTGTTGAAACTGAGAATTGGCGCGTTGCTCACTGCCGCACTTTTTTTTCCAAAAGCATTCGGACCACAATTTTTCTTTTTTTCACTCCGAACACTTCGTAAAATAGGATAAATTTAAACATGAAGGTCTCCCAAGCTATTCTCTCTGTTGTTCTCGGCTTTGCCGTAGCTGCTCATGCTCAAGAT